TCGACACTAATGGTGTGGAGCGATTTGTTAGCCCTAGTCAAGAACATAAAAAGCGTGACAACATAAACAAAAAACTGAACAACAGCTGAACAAAAAACTCATCTTAGAAAGAAGCTAGAAAGGGAGCTGAACAGCTTCGAAGTGGGCGTGGTTAAAAATCGGCTGCAATCCCCTCAGCCGATAACCACGCCCACTTCGAAGCTGTTCAGCTCCCTTTCTAGCGGCTTTCCAAGGTGAGTTTTTTGTTCAGTCACACTTCTTATGTTCTTGACTAGGGCTAGCGCATCGTTCCACACCATTAGTGTCGAAGGTAAAAACCTTGCCGGGACTGTTGTTTTGAGATCGAAGGCCACTGAGGATATCACTATCGTTTCACAACTTGCAGTTGTGGTCGATGTTTGATAAAAGAACTAGTAAAAAGCTATTTTTGCATTCGATTTGGTAGAATGCGCAGTTTACACCACAATAACTCTAACTGCTGCAGCAAAACGAATCACCTAAAAGCAGAGCCCACGATTAGAAAGCAAAACTCATCAGAATTAAAGGACGAATTCACGATGAAAAAGCAACCCATTTCAAATTAACCTAGGGATGGTGAGTGGTACACGAAAGAAGGAAGAACCATGAGAAACGGCCCAGAACCCGAGAAATGGGACCCCTTCCTTGCCCGTTGATTTGAGCATTGATGCGACTCTCATCGCTGTGCCCTCTTCAACACTACGCTCTCTCTGCTATCTAATCACTCGCCACGTATAGAACTGCGGCGAGTGATCAGATGATCGGTGGGCGGAGATCGCCGGACCCGCCAGCTTTGAGGCATGATAGGTCGCCGAGGTCAAATTTTTCGATGCGAATTGCGCGTCAGTTCGCACCCTCAGGAGGTCCGTGGGTCCCTCAACTAGGTCAGTTTCCCTTCTTCGACCTTCATTCTAATCGTGAATTCCTCCTTTAAGGTAGAAGTGCAGTGGCGCCGGTAGGAATGACATGCCGGAAAACATGAGAAACAACTCGGATCTGGAAATGTCATCCCTTTCGTGCCCGTGGATTCCCGCACTGCTGCAACTCTTATAGTGCCGCCCGCTTCGATGCTAACGCTCTCTCGTAAATGGCTTGTAGAGGCCTTCGACGGGAGTTCAGCCAGTCAATGGGCGTGCCGCGTCGATAGAGCCGTAGGGGGGCCCATGCTATATCGCCGTAAGCATTCCTTCGCTGCAAAGTCCGTCTCAATCGCTCCCTAGGAGGTCCGATGTATTCACAAGCTATGTCTCCCCTTCTTCGACCTTCGACCTCAACGAGGAATCTTTTTTAATGGTACCCAATATGGGGCAAAACCAGTTAGGGTTATGTGTTCAATTATGGGATACGGTGGGTGCGCAACGTATGCAATAGCTGTTATAACGCTTGACTCTTTTTTTTCAACTCTCAGTAAAGAGCATAGGTACTACTGAAATATGCGGATAAATTGTGCCCTCCGGATGTCTTCCCCTTCAGGGCTTAGTTATACAATTCTCATATTATCGTGATGTCATTGCCCACAGTGTGCAAAAAAATGGTAATTTAGCGCTCAATAGCTTGCATCTGAAATCCTTCAGTGCTTGATTTACTCAATCACTAGCTAGGAGTCCATTTCAGGAAAACGTGATTCGTTTGCATGGAGTTTGCACATCAAAAGAACCAATTATGATAGTAATGGAGCTAGCTGCTGGAGGATCGTTACTTTCGAAATTGAAAGATCTCAAAAGCCCGGTAAACTGCTTTGTTTCTCATAGTAGTGTCTAGCAAATTCTTCAGTGGTTGGTCTACAGCTAGTTGTATATAGTTTTAGCTTTAGGCTGCCATTATACGGGCCATAGAAAAATGGGTGCCCGTGATTAGAGAAAGAGAATATGATAGCTGGAGGGCGGAGCAGTTTCGATGACGTCACACAACGAAATTAGTGGGCCTGACCTGCCAGCGCGCATCCTTGACTCCAAACGATGTCATCGCAACCACACCGACTTCCAGTGGTCGTGTCCAGTGCCTCTAATGGGGTGAGAAGATGCGTAAACCCTAGACCGTAAACCCAAGAACATGAGATGTTGCCGAACAAGAAACTCGCCTTGTAAAGCTGCTACAAGGAAGATTGATATGTGCCAATCCCATTGCTCCGCCTTTTGCACTTTTCGCCTTCGCTAGGGAAAGATTGCGTGATTGGTTGAGTGGTCCTTGCGCTTGCACCGCTACCCCTCCTTATTTCGAGGGGAAAAAGGATTCGTTGTTCAAAGCTTCCTTGGTTCTTTTTTCATTTGCAGTCAACTCGCCATCCACAATTTCGTTATCGACTGTTCCTACCGCGCGAATTCGATCTGGAGCTGTTGCGTGAAAGGCATATTTCGTTCTAATTAGGTTTGTGTACTGTGAACAAAACTGCAGGTTGTGAAGGCCGTCTAATTGAAAACGAAAGAAAAACCATCCAGAGGCTTGAAATAAGGCTCAATTTTCGCACTTGAGGATTGGACGAACTTTTGACCCTGATACCCAAAGCCCTTTTACCGCCAATGTCACTTATGCCGACATGCTGATTTACCGTTCGGAGGACATTGTTTTATCAGTTCAATTAGGGTAATGTATCCTCTGAAACCTTAAACACTTCTTTGCTTTGAACTTCTTTCCGCCTTATGCTGCGTACAACATGGCACTTCCCTTCACACGCATTTTTCTGCACTCTAGAACGCCGGGCGTTCATAAGTGCAAAATTCAATTTTGAGGAAAATATTGGCTCAACTTCACTCATCTTGAAACCTCGGCATTTTCTTTGTTATTCTTTTAACTGTGAGCTGTACTTCTGCCTCAAGGTTGCTGAGGTGGACGATTTTTTCCTGGCCGACGTTCCGACCGACCCGTCGTTTCAAAGGCCTAAACGTGGCTCAAAGCTTAAGAAGTGCACATTACTCTGTCTTTCTACTGTCAGAAACGCTATAAGGGAGGAGGCGTTTGATAGTGCACTTCTTAAGCTTTGAGCTAACCATAAGTTTAGGCCCTTGAAAACGACGGGACGGTCGAAATGTCGGCCAGATTAAGCCTTCCACCTTAACAACTCCAGGCAGAAGTACAATTCGCGATGACTCTCTCGTCTTTCTTTTAGCCTAGTACGAACGCTAAAGTGAACTTCGTGTACGGTGCCGCCAGAGGAATGGCATACCTACAAAGCAAGGAGATCATCCATAGGTAGGAGTTCGAGTCGTGAAAGATTCGGTCTCATCTGGGAATAACAGAATTTCCTTACAGGGATATTGCCGCAAGAAACTGCCTGCTGGGTGAAAAAGACGAGGTAAAAATATCTGACTTCGGTCTGTCGTTCATTGGAAAAACATTGAGGGAAAAGAAGTTGGTTAAAGTTCCACTCAGGTAGGGGATCTTTCGCATTCCAGGTTTCACAGACTCACTGCAGATAGGCACTGGAAGATACAGGCCTTATTCCGTTTCAGCTCATTACGGACATGTGCGCGTAATCTTGTATCAAGTCTGAAGCACAGTTGTTAAAGTCCACTAGTGTTGTACAGACTCGATTACCCGATATTTGAAGTTTGAAGGGAGGTGGCACGATCCACTATGTTTGCGTTGTCGTAAAAGGGTTAAGCAGTGACCAGCTCATTTAGTTTAGTTGTATTCAATATTTGTCTCGTTACTCGCGTTATTCGCTTCTTCTTCTCCATTTTGCTTTCCTTTATTATTGATCTGCTTCGGTAGAAGAGGTAGCTGGATAGCAACCGCTGCTTCGACAATTCACCGGGTGAATAGTTTGGCTTGAAGGCGGAGTTCACGGTGAAAAGGCCGCTCGTTGGAAGTTAAGGGACACATATAGTCATTGATGCGCGGAAGAAAGAAAACCGAGGAAGTGGCCGAAAAAACTAAGAATTGGGACCTTCTCCACGCCCACTGATTTGTACATTGATGAGAATCTCATCGGAGCTGTCCTCTTCAACGCTAAAGCTCCCTCTGCTAGACGGCTCAAGGCCCAGACGGCGAAAAAGTGGGCCTCCCGCGGCGCTTGCGGTGCTGGAACGCCCATGCTAGATCGCCGAGGGCATACCCGGCATAAGAGTTGTATGTTTGTCTGCACCCTTAAGAAACCCGTCTTTATTCCCACTTCTTCGACCTCCGACCTTATCATGGGATCCTCCTCGGATGCGCCTGGAAGCGAAAGAATTATACAGAGCTTCCTACTATATATAATTCGCTAAGCGGTGGTGCGTGTGTGTGTGTGTGTGTGTGTTTGACCGGAAATTCATAGCTCGGGTCACAGTAATGATAGCGCCATGGTTCTTACATATGTTATAGGGGTGGGATGGGGACACAAGTGGTACGTGATAGGAACTGATAACGACTGATAATAGCTGATAAGAGGGGCTAGAAAGCGAGCATCGCCAATTTCGTTTTGTCGTTCATATTGGTACTAGAGCGTCTATACTTACAAGTGTTATGTGGGGTGGTCCCGGGACATTGGTGGTACATGATGAAAGCGATAGCAACTGATAAGGGCTGATAAGATGCGTCAGAACGCAAAAGTCGTCGATTCCGTTACCTGGCTCGCGTTGACACCAGAGCAACCATACTTACAAGTGTTATGTGGGGTGGGACGGGGACATTGTTGGTGGGTGATGGAAAGTGATTACAACTGATAAGGGCTGATAAGGCGCGTCAGAACGCAAAAGTCGTCGATTCCGTTACCAGCTCGCGTTGACACCAGAGCGTCCATACTTACAAGTGTTATGTGGGGTGGGACGGGGACATTGTTGGTGGGTGATGAAAGTGGTTACAACTGATAAGGCTGATAAGGCGCGTCAGAACGCAAAAGTCGTCGATTCCGTTACGTAGCTTGCGCTGACACTAGAGCGTCCCTACTTACAAATTCTATTTGTAGTGGTACGTGCACATTGTTTTATCATATTACATTAAATTCTACTATATTAACATAGTATTTCTATTTTCGGTCAATCAGTAATGGAGAAGAGCAAACTTAATTGCTAATATCCATGAGCCCTGACTACACTAGTTTATTCCTACCCTTGTTAGGGGTTGGTTGCCCTTGCAACTTGCCTCACGAGCGTAGAATGGCTGTGTACTCAGTGGATGTTTTATATTGCAGTTGAAGGATATTACAAGCAGAACATCAAGAAAGAATGATATCCGAGATCGAGGATCTCCTCAGTTCCATTACCGATTGGTTCACCCTGACACCCTTATACATCTCCTGATATGAGAGGGGCTTACGAAAAGCATGGGCCTTGTACAGCACATCCCAGCCGAAGATGAGTCCTCAACCCTCTGCTTCTTCGGATGCACCTCCGCACCCCTGAACACAAGGCGCGCGTCCTCAGCGGGGCGAGAAAACAGTGAATTTGGAATTGATCCAATCCCGAGGCTCACGGGCCCAAACTAGCGAGAGAACAACAAAATGTCAAGCCGAAACATCAACAGTTTGTTCATATAACACAGGGATAGTTCCAAAAAATCAAATCATCCTCAATTGGTAAATTTATCTATTACGAAGTGTTACAGATGGCTGTCACCGGAAACTTTGAAAAAAGGCGTGTATAACACGAAAACTGATGTTTATAGTTTTTCAATAATGATCTGGGAGATATTCTCATTTGGGCAGTTACCATTCTACAAATACGATAACCCACAATTAAGGGTGTTAATCAAGGAGAAAAAGGTGCGTCATCAATCCACACACAAAACTTCAATTCGTGTTTGACAAGACGTTATTGGGTTTGCGAAACTAAACCTTCGAGGAAACCTGTTCGAACATCCTGTCATTCAGGCGACTCTTCCAACATGTCTCTCTGATATACCTCCAGATATGAATGAGCTACGACTGAGATGTATGCATCCAGATCCGGATGTAAGGCCAGATTTTCATGAACTGGAATCTATTATAGCTGAGGTAAACTTCTCGGGAACTTTGAATTGTTCTGTCCCGAGGTCTCACCTTGATCTAATCAGCATTTATTGAACAAGTGAGACTCAATTATTTATTGTAGAAGTGTCTAAAGCTTTCATAAAAGAAATTGCAAAAATGTGCAAAAATGCGGGTGAGCAGAAGTTTTGCAGGAGTTCAGGCCTTTTCCGGCCTTAGCGCTTTTGTCATATCTGAATTGAAATAAGTAGAAGCTTTGAAGTCTGGTAATATATTGGCTTGCTCGGAAAGCTTCCGCTGTTTTGATCCGCAAATTCAAAAGCGCATCTCTCGGTTCAAACAGAACATTTGTGATCGATAGTCCCTATACATTCGTTCGACAGAAGAGCGTTTGAAAAATTTGGGTGTTGGAAGTGCTAGAGTCCTGTATACGAAAAACGTGGCGGAGGTTTTGTTACCATCATGTTGGGTTTCTAGGTTTGATCTCTTTGAAAAGACTATCCAGATGGCTGGAAAAGTGGCAGTTGGTAGGCAAGAGGTCTACTGTGCAAGATGTTCGCAGCACAGTTTTGTAGCTCAGCTAGTTCAACTTGTGCACGGCTGGAAGTGCGAGATGGGGCTGCGCAACTGTGGGGAAAAGAGTCGGCGGCACCACTTGTCGATTTCTTTTCACGTTCTTTTTGGACACCTGTATATTTGCGAACCCCATCTCAGTTAGCCCAATCCTATTCAACAGTTCCACGCAGATTTGGTTGGATCAAAACCTTAGTAAATCTTTATCAGTCTCCGATATCCGACCTTCACCCTTATCTTCTTCGAAGCTTTCATCATCGCGAGAAAGACATTTTGGAATCAAGTCTACACGGCAATTTTTTTGTGGATTCAATACCAAATGCTCAGTTGATATCGCGATCAGCTACAGTACTTCACGGAGCTAGAGTATGTCAGAATCAAGACTTTTGAAAAGAGGAGAAAAGTGCGAAGGTTAACACGTTGACGACCGCGCTATTTTTCGCTGTCTGGCGTGTGGGACCGCGCGCATTATTTTGACCGCGCGAGTGTGACATGACATCATGTCACACGGTCCCACGAGAACTCCTTTTTCTCAGGAAGTGTGTATTTGTTATCTTTCTTGTGTGGTAGGTCTCCGATTATGCGATTTTGGCCATTTTAGCGATTCCTGTGATTTGATCATTATTCAAACATTTTTAGAAAAACTCGATAGCCCATCAACCGAAGCTTCTTTCCAGGGACCACGCCTTTTGTAACAATGCCTAAGTATGGCGCATACATCACGTAAATAAGTTACCTAAAATGTTTGAAAACCAGCTTAAAAAAGACTGTGACATGACATCATGTCACACGGTCCCACGTGGCCGAAAGAGTGTGGTATGACATCATACCACACGGTCGTCAACGTGTTAAAGTAACAACAGATTTAGACAAAGCGAGAAACGCATTTTCTACCGATGTATAAAGTGTAGACAGTTCCTTAGAAGTGATTCAGAAATGAGGCGTTCTGAAGTGAGTTACGAAAAACGGCGGAAACATTCCGAGCATTCCAATATCAACAGATTATCCCACGATGAAGCCCATGTCATAGTTTGCGAATCGAGCGATTTGCTAGCGAATCGCTCGATCCGCAAAGTATGACGTCAGCCTAAGAACGAAGGTCGAAAAAGGAGAAAGAAGACAAACGGACAGGGGATCCCTTAGAGTGCTTACCAACGCGCAATTCGCATGGGACGATTTGCCCCAGGCGATCTAGCATGGCTTTCCCTTGGCGCGGTTGGCGGGAACGCCCACCGACTATCTAATCACTCGCCGCAGGTCTATACGTGGCGAGTGATTAGATAGCAGAGAGAGCGTAGTGTTGAAGAGGGCACAGCGATGAGAGTCGCATCAATGCGCAAATCAACGGGCAAGGAAGGGGTCCCATTTCTCGGGTTCGGGCCGTTTCTCATGGTTTTTTCTTCATCCCTGCTCCACTGATCCACCTCCACCTTATTTACCATGAGGTAATTATCGTAATGAGCGCCTATTACCAGTACTGCCTACCCTCCCACTGCGCTGTAATACTTACCAACCAAACTTATCGACCTGTGTTGTTGATCTGAGAGGCAGGAACTATTCGCTACCCGTTCCTATCCTCAGAGGAATCCTCGAAAGAACGTGATTTTATTTCACCCATAATTCACTGGCTTGGGACCCATCGTTCACGATAAGAACGAAAAGAACAAAAAATTGCATTTGTTTTGGTAAAAAATTCGAAAAACCGAAAGGGCTGCTACGCGTTCAAAGTACCGCCGGACATCTGTCACAAATGCTGGCGACGGGAATGCTTCCACTTGGTTCTTGGAGTGCCGTCACTAGAAACTCTTCCTGGTCCTTTTGACGTATTATCAACATTTCACAGTCGAGTTGCCACTATTCTCCAAAATCGCTCGCTTCAACCCGATTCTTTCATTGCGTCGCCTGATACCGCCCCAAGGCGGACTTCTTTCCATGCCCGCCTTTGGCTCCGCGCCACTTACCTTCGATTGTCCATAGAGTGTGGTTTTTGTAAGTTTGTTTCTCTTCGGAAACCGAATCTTTGTGCGTGAAACTTTGTATGTTGTTCTAGTGATCACAACTGACATATGCGTGTTGGGAAAGATGCAAGAGTTTCTGGGAAGGAATCCTTTAAATGGCGTGGACGTGTAAGGGCCCTCATTTCGCGAAATATGGCATTCATTCCACACTGATAACTAACAGTAGTGTATCAAGTAACTGCAGTTATGCGATGAGTTGAGTACAGTCACGTAACACGTCTTTGCTATTTATTTCCGAGGGCTAGTCTTTTTTCCAGAGCCTCCAGTATTTTGCGTTCCACTGTGTTTTCGAACGGAACGGTGTAGGACTTTTACGTTGAGGGTGGGTGGATCCCCTTGGGCATGTTGTTGGGTTCTATGTTTGGAGAAGCTAATTACCTGGATATGAGACCGTGCTTTGTAGAGCCCTCGAATGTTCATCTAGTGGTATTATAATATTGTTTAGATAGCTTGTTATTTCTCCAACATATTTTTGCGCGCGTTCATGGCATTCCGTTTCATGAACTGTACCCTTCATTTGACATATTTTGTCTTCCTTACAGTAAATGCAGCCATGCCCTCGTAAGTAAGCACCCTTGTCCTCGTAAGTAAGCAGGTGCTCCAGGTCTGGTGATGGCGGAATAGTCGCATTGGGAGCTAGGAACTCCTTACGACAATCTTGACATTCCATGCTGATTTTCGTTGACATACGGCATTATCATGGGGATCCCATCCCATCAAGCGTGGAGTACGGTTTCCGTGACTGCATATTCGTATTGGAATATTCGTTTTCTCTCAAAATACGCTACACCATTGAATGTACTTCACATGAAGGTTGACTGCAGACTTTTCGTTGGTCAAAATGAGGTTGCGGACGACGTTAACCTTCAGTGGTAAGAAGCCTGCATCAAATATATCATTTCGCATGCTAAAAGTTGCCATCTTATTCACATGAAGGCGAGCCACCGCTTCGTTTCCTAACAAAGAGTCCACTCTTTCGAATGCTGCGTTGATCCACCAGACTATCACTTTCCTGCGAAACCTCTTCATTAAACATATTTGCATAAGATTAGGGGCTTAATGCCGCATAAGTAATAGTGAAGGTAACGCACACAATGTGCGCAATCCTTGCTGCACAAGCCCGGTTGATAGTGAGGTATCTGCTGTTAGGTTCCGTCTGTAGCAGCTCCGACCTGGGATAGAACCTAAACTTCTGCTTTTGACCGGGCAGAGACACATCACCATAAAAATGAACAGAGGTTGTGTCCCCGTCGAGGCAGGAACGCAGAATTTTGAGTTCCCGGCTGACCTGCTGCATGTGGCCCGTTTGTGCCTAGGTCTGCGGAACTATCCTTTGGATGCAAAATTCACCTTTTGTACATTTATGGTGTGGGATTGCTAGAGTGCTTTCATTAGACCTATCTCGAACGCGCATAGACGCATGGCGCTAGATACTGCACCTTTCGCACCAGACGCCGAACACATGACGTCACCCGCGAAGCCGCATTCGCCACGTGGTAGACCTGATCGCCATTCGAATTCACCATTTCAAGAGTGGGGGATCTTAGTATACCGTTAGTCCATACGCCCGCCGTGATAGTATCGAATCACCTGCGTCGTTCCGCCGATCTGCATAATAGCTCTCTTGGAGAATTCCTTTTTCTCCTCGGCGCCCATTATCTCTCATCCTGCTGTTTAATAATTATTCTGCTCCATATTGCAGAGCAAAGGCGTTCACATTCTTGTGTTTTCGAGGGTTTCTCTTTTTTCATTCTTAACTCGCTCCGCTTCACGCTTCTACTTTTACTACTTACCATTAGTGCTCTTAACTCAAAGACACTATTCTCGGGAGCCTTCAGGCCTCGTAGAGTTGTCTAACGAATTGTTGTTTTAGATGCCTGGTGTGATCAAACCGCAGCCACCATCACTACTCAGTCGAATTTCCACTGCTATAAGCGATTACATCTACGGACGAGTTTACACGTAATGCTCCTGATGGCAACAGTGCGAGATGTTAGAAGAGCGTCATTTCCTCTTACTCATTACAACTTGATAGAAATTACTACAAAGTACCTTCTATATTAGCTAATCTTTGTACTCGTCACATGAATTGTCCACATGAACAAATTATTATAAATAATTAATACTTCATCTTCTCGAGTACATGTCAATAAATGCTACAATAAAAAGACCGAACTATTCGCCATGTTTTCCTCTTCTGGATCAATTGTGACTTCAATAAGTCGTCTCGTTTGTTCTAGCTCAGAGTGTTCTGGTCTCCTCATAAAGGGAGTGAAAGACGAAAACTCATTACAGGTGCAGCAAGAGGAATAGCGGTGCATGCGTGTAGCGGTCTGATGGCCGGCACTGCAGAACTGCAACCTTTTCAAGCCTCAGGTCAAATTCTGTAAAAACCGGAGCCCCTGGATCAGATAACATATGAGTCATTGAGTCATCTGGGCGGGCAGAAATTAATTCGACCCTCAATAGATTGCCCAGCAGGGTCGAGCGCATTGAGGAATCCTCTTAGGGGGGAGGAAGGTGGTCGTACTATCCTTACTATATATAAGACGCTATGTCTGTCTGTTTTACAAAGGGCTGCTACGCGTTCAAAGTACCGCCGGACATCTGTCACAAATGCTGGCGACGGGAATGCTTCCACTTGGTTCTCGAAGTGCTGTTCCTAAAAACTCTTCCTGGTCTTTTGACGTATTATCAACATTTCACAGTCGATTTGCCACTATTCTCCAAAATCGCTCGCTTCAACCCGATTCTTTCATTGCGTCGCCTGATACCGCCCCAAGGCGGACTTCTTTCCATGCCCGCCTTTGGCTCCGCGCCACTTACCTTCGATTGTCCATAGAGTGTGGTTTTTGTAAGTTTGTTTCTCTTCGGAAACCGAATCTTGTGCGTGAAACTTTGTATGTTGTCTCTAGTGATCACAACTGACATATGCGTGTTGGGAAAGAATGCAAGAGTTTCTGGGAAGGAATCCTTTAAATGGCGTGGACGTGTAAGGGCCCTTATTTCGCGAAATATGGCATTCATTCCACACTGATAACTAACAGTAGTGTATCAGTAACTGCAGTTATGCGATGAGTTGAAGAGAGTCACGTAACTCGTCTCTGCTATTTATTTCCGGGGCTAGTCTTTTTATTTCCAGAGCCTCCAGTATTTTGCGTTCCACTGTGTTTTCAACGGAACGGTGTAGGACTTTTACGTTGAGGGTGGGTGGATCCCCTTGGGCATGTTGTTGGGTTCTATGTTTGGAGAAGCTGTTACCTGGATATGAGGCCGGATTTTGTAGAGCCCTCCGATGTTCATCGAGTCGTTTGTGGAGAGGTCTTCTTGTTTCTCCAACATACTTATGCCCACATCCTTGGCATTCCGTTTCATGAACTGTACCCTTCATTTGACATATTTTGTCTTCCTTACAGTAAATGCAGCCATGCCCTCGTAAGTAAGCACCCTTGTCCTCGTAAGTAAGCAGGTGCTCCAGGTCTGGTGATGGCGGAATAGTCGCATTGGGAGCTAGGAACTTCCTTACGACAATTGTTGACATTCCATGCTGATTTTCGTTGAACATACGGCATTATCATGGTGATCCCATCAGGTGTGGAGTACGGTCTCCATGACTGCAAGTTCGTATTGGAATATCCGTTTTCTCTCAAAATACGTTCCACCATTGAATGTACTTCACATGAAGGTTGACTGCAGACTTTTCGTTGGTCAAAATGAGGTTGCGGACGACGTTAACCTTCAGTGGTAAGAAGCCTGCATCAAATATATCATTTCGCATGCTAAAAGTTGCCATCTTATTCACATGAAGGCGAGCCACCGCTTCGTTTCCTAACAAAGAGTCCACTCTTTCGAATGCTGCGTTGATCCACCAGACTATCACTTTCCTGCGAAACCTCTTCATTAAACATATTTGCATAAGATTAGGGGCTTAATGCCGCATAAGTAATAGTGAAGGTAACGCACACAATGTGCGCAATCCTTGCTGCACAAGCCCGGTTGATAGTGAGGTATCTGCTGTTAGGTTCCGTCTGTAGCAGCTCCGACCTGGGATAGAACCTAAACTTCTGCTTTTGACCGGGCAGAGACACATCACCATAAAAATGAACAGAGGTTGTGTCCCCGTCGAGGCAGGAACGCAGAATTTTGAGTTCCCGGCTGACCTGCTGCATGTGGCCCGTTTGTGCCTAGGTCTGCGGAACTATCCTTTGGATGCAAAATTCACCTTTTGTACATTTATGGTGTGGGATTGCTAGAGTGCTTTCATTAGACCTATCTCGAACGCGCATAGACGCATTATACGAAGACGCGTATGCAACACAATGGTGTTTCAAACAGTAGAAGGGACACAATCATGATATGACGGTAGATTTTTCGCTTCCCTTCCTCATCCTCCCTTCCTCTCTCCACTGCCCTCCAGCTGCCACTGCAGCACCATGTGGAATGAACGGAAGTGTGCTAAGCAGGTGTTTATATAGCCCTAAGAGTGTTATCACAACTATCCTGCTACAAAACATTGATATCTCAAATCCTGTAAGCTACCCGATTTGTTAGCGGTTTGTTTATCCCATGAGCTTCCTTCTCACTCACTTCATTTTGCGGACGGACACACATACATACATACACACACACAGATACACAAACCGACACACAAAGTTAGCGCTTTATAAAATAGAATAATTAGGAAAAGTACTGCAAAGATTTCAACCTACTCAATCGATTACACTTTGATGAAGCTACCCTGAAGATTGCATTTCTACATAAATGCTGTATTCCTCAACTTCAAACAGTCCCTTCCAGTAACCTGTTGTTGCCTCAAACTCACGTCTTCATTGCAGGGAACGGAAATTGAAGCGCATGACACGGAACACGCCTTGCATTTCGACAAACAGCAAGTCGGTTTCCAACCACTATCGAGCAGGCTGCTCTTATCATTGCGAACTTGGCTCTCTCTCCTATTATAATACCAGTTTAGCTCCGCCCGCTACCGCGCGCATTGATAGAACTGACAATCGATGAAGCTTTAGGTTTCACGCTAAATTATAGCTGCTTCGTTAAATGTATTACTGTCCGTTGCATAGGCTGGCTGTATCTCACTGTTTGATAAGCGCAGTGAAGTGCACAGCTAAAGTGATGATGTAAACAACCACTATGCGTCGAGTATCGAGGTAATTTAGCGGTCGAATATCTCAAAACGGAATGCCCAGTATTCATTATCATATTTATTCGAGCATCCCATTCATCCTCAAGAACTCTAGAAGGTGTAGCGGTCGAAAGGTGTTTGAGTTTACAATTACAACGCTGATGAAATGATATTGAAATGAAAGGCATTATCTACAATCTGCTCTCTATTTTCTATTTCAAGGGCTCTCTACGTTCGTACGCATATCGATACTATCAGTCCTCATCAGTCGTTATCACTTTTTGACCCCCACCAAATATGTTTCCGTCCCACCCCCCTATATCATGTCCCAAAATCAGCTCCTGACGACTGCTGCGAAGCGCACTATGAATTTCGTGAAATTTGTGTTTCAGCGCCTCTTATCTGCTCTTATCAGTCGTTATCACTTTGTGACCCCCACCAAATATGTTCCCGTCCCACCCCCTATATCATGCCCCAAAATCAGCTCCTGACGACTGCTGCGAAGCGCACTATGAATTTCGTGAAATTTGTGTTTCAGCGCCTCTTATCTGCTCTTATCAGTCGTTATCACTTTGTGACCCCCACCAAATATGTTCCCGTCCCACCCCCTATATCATGCCCCAAAATCAGCTCCTGACGACTGCTGCGAAGCGCACTATGAATTTCGTGAAATTTGTGTTTCAGCGCCTCTTATCTGCTCTTATCAGTCGTTATCACTTGTGACCCCCACCAAATATGTTCCCGTCCCACCCCCTATATCATCATCAAAAAAATCAGCTCCTGACGACTGCTGCGAAGCGCACTATGAATTTCGTGAAATTTGTGTTTCAGCGCCTCTTATCTGCTCTTATCAGTCGTTATCACTTTGTGACCCCCACCAAATATGTTCCCGTCCCACCCCTATATCATGTCCCAAAATCAGCTCCTGACGACTGCTGCGAAGCGCACTATGAATTTCGTGAAATTTGTGTTTCAGCGCCTCTTATCTGCTCTTATCAGTCGTTATCACTTTGTGACCCCCACCAAATATGTTCCCGTCCCACCCCCTATATCATATCAAAAATCAGCTCCTGACGACTGCTGCGAAGCGCACTATGAATTTCGTGTGCACACACACACACACACACACACACACACACACACACACACACACACACACACACACACACACACACACACACACACACACACACACACACACACACACACACACACACACACACACACACACACACACACACACACACACACACACACACACACACACACACACACACACCACACACACACACACACACACACACACACACACACACACACACACACACACACACACACACACACACACACACACACACACACACACACACACACACACACACACACACACACACACACACACACACACACACACACACACACACACACACACACACACACACACACACACACACACACACACACACACACACACACACACACACACACACACACCACACACACACACCACAACACACACACACACACACACACACACACACACACACACACACACACACACACACACACACACACACACACACACACACACACACACACACACACACACACACACACACACACACACACACACACACACACACACACACACACACACACACCACACACACACACACACACACACACACACACACACACACACACACACACACACACACACACACACACACACACACACACACACACACACACACACACCACACACACACACACACACACACACACACACACACACACACACACACACACACACACACACACACACA